GAGAGGGGACGTAGAGGGCCGCGTCCCCTCTCCCATTTTGAGTGTACGCAGGCTCTCCTCCTCTCCCCGGAAATGGGGAGAGGAGGAGAGCCCGCGCACACTCAAAATGGGAGAGGGGACGTAGAGGGCCGCGTCCCCTCTCCCATTTTGAATGTACGCAGGCTCTCCTCCTCTCCCCGGAAATGGGGAGAGGAGGAGAGCCCGCGCACACTCAAAATGGGAGAGGGGACGTAGAGGGCCGCGTCCCCTCTCCCATTTGGAGTGTACGCAGGCTCTCCTCCTCTCCCCGGAAATGGGGAGAGGAGGAGAGCCCGCGCACACTCAAAATGGGAGAGGGGACGTAGAGGGCCGCGTCCCCTCTCCCATTTTGAGTGTACGCAGGCTCTCCTCCTCTCCCCGGAAATGGGGAGAGGAGGAGAGCCCGCGCACACTCAAAATGGGAGAGGGGACGCGGGCCTCTACCTTCCACTGCATTGCCAAGAAAAGTTGTCGCCGAGTATTCGCAACTTGCAGCGATGGTGGTACCGCGGTGTGAGAATCGCGTTCCCTAGCTCCTGGATGATCGGCTTCACAATAAATGTGCTTGGCAACACCTTCCTGACGTCCTGACATGAAAAAATAAACTAGGGCTCTAATACTGCTCGTATAGAGCAAAACTAGAATTACTCACGCCTTGCGGATCCAGCTTCGTACTGCTGTTCTACAACGATCATCTAGATGACACCCATTTTGATAGGCACCAGTGCGCCCCCTATAGGACGTGAAAGTTGCGAATACTGACTTGGGCTTTTGACGCTCCTCGGTTGGTCCCAGGGCCGGCCTATGCACCGTTAAGTGTCCCCGGGAGAACTCCGGCCGTGGCGCCCCCGCCCCCTCCCCCCCCCCCTCTTTTTTTTTCCATACGCCCCTTTCTACTAGGTACGACATCACGTTGTTAGTAAACATGTGAGTAGTGGCCCAAGACGTGCGTTTTCTCAGGCAAGAACCCAATTACAAAAACGAACGGGAATCGAGCTTACCGTGTTTACTCGAGTAATGGTCGCACCTCTATACGAACGAGGCCCTTGTGTCTGCTTTCCCGCACTGCACATATGCAGCCAGTCATCACGTTTTGCATAAGAAATGCAGCGAGTACTGAGGTCGAGAACACTATTCTTCTTTAAAAATGCGATCTGCAGGCAGATAGCAATTTCGCGCGAAGACGTAATCGCTGTCCCGTAAATCACCGTCCTTTTTTTTTTTTTTTTTCAGCCGATTACGTTGATTCGCCATCCCCGTTCTCCGCGGGAAAGCAGACGCACGGGCCTATAGTTCGTAAGAAGTGCGACTCTATGACTCGAGCAAATATACGGTATAGGGGGTATTCGCTGGACGCCATATTTGAGGGCGCTGTTTAGAGCGCATGCCCTTAACGCGCTCACATTAATAGACCGCTAAGTCCGGCAACGTCGATGGTCTGGAATGCACGTTGCAAAAGAACTGCGGAGGCTCGCCATCAGCACGAGCTCGGCAGTCGCGCACGCAGCTGGCCGCCAGTGAATACTAGTGTCGGGCGCCGTGCCCAAAGAAAAAAAAAAAAAAAAGCTGAAAAATTTTTTAAAAAAGCACAATAGCGCTTTTTTTTTTATCAATTCGAGCAATTCGGGGGGGGGGGGGGGGGGGTTAGCCCGCCCTGATTGGTCCCATTCCCTCGTAGCGTCGGCTGCGTCTGGGCTTAGTTGAAACCTAGCAAGGTCAAGGCGCTGCTTCCGAAGGGGCCAACACGAGCTGTGGGCACTGCGCGTGCGCTGATTCTCGCCAGGTGGAGCCTCCTGCGCATGCGCCCTGCCCATGCCAGCGCCACCGCAGCGGCTTGACGTCAGTGCCGCGTGTTGATGTCCATCTCTATTCACTCCTCCTGCATGGCTGGTGCTAGCAACTCGGGAGACGCCACCAAGCGGCAGAGATGCTCTATTTACTGAAAGGGGAGCTCCCTTTTCCAATGTGCAGCGCGAACTTCCGCAGGCCAAAAAGGGAAACCAAGAAGCGGAGATTAAATGCCCACTGCTGGGGTAGCGAGGAGTGCGAATCTATCGATATACACGCGCCGGTTGGGAAAGGACCGCGTCGCAGTGGGCAAATGTTTTCTAATATGGTATCCAGAGTGTCATCCCAAATTTGATTAGCGCGAAATTCTAAATAAGCAATTAGAATGCTTGAGGGCTCCCGAAATGAGGGTTACTTACTGCGCACGCAAGCTGGTAAACAATCATAGCGGAAAAACGCACACACACACACCTGAGAGTAGGAACAAAGAAAAGGGGACAAGCGCAACACCGTCGCAAAGCCCAGCGGGGCGTAATGAATTAAAAAGCGCAAAGGACAGACCCGGACATGAAGTAGACAAAACAGCGCTATATTAACATCTGGGGTTTTAATAGAAAAATGAAAAAGAGAAGAAAGAAGCGAAAGAAATTATACAGAAGACAAAAGGACGAAAATAAAGAAAGAAATTAAACAAGTATGAGAATCATAGCAATCGTAGATATAAATTAATATGAAGAAATCAATAAATAAAAATTAAAAATTTAATAATAAAGACACAAACATTATTGCAACACGACTTCGAAGGATGAAGTTTGAGGTAATCACGCCCCTAACTAGAAACCTTCTGTCACCTCATCTAGGGTGATGGAGGTATAATAGTTCTTTGCCTTATAAGGACACAGAAGGTTCACTGACACAGGCGTCACCATAAGCCTTGATTGTCAGCGCCTCGTAAATTCTTCTTGATCTTTTGCCACGGTACTGTCCGAGGACTTCTGTCTTTTTGAAGATCGGTGTGCAATGGCAGTCACGGACGTGCTTCTGAGATGCCGGTGAGGGGTTGAGAGCAGACTTGTGCCCGTTACTCCAAAAAAGTAATCGATTACAATTACTTGGCCTAAAAAGTAGGGGATTACCGTTAGAAATTACTCCCCGTAAAAAGTAACTGATTAATTACTTCGTTATTTTAGTCAATTACTGTTGCGTTACTTTAAAGAAACGCGCAAAATACCTGCAATATCTACTGCGTGTTTGTGCACACTAAAAAAAATCAGTTCGAAACAGAACTTTTTGGAGTTCTTCGGCTTGTCCATATTTTGCACCCTAAAAGGTTCTTTTAAGCACCTAATAAAAAAGAGTCTTCACGAAGAACCTTAAAGGGGTTCTTTTAAGTTCTCTTTTCAATGAAACAGTTCTTCGTGAGGAACTTTTAAAAGGTTCTTTTCAGCCCTTCTCTCGCTAAAACAGTTCTTGGTGAAGAACCGTTTAACAGTTCTTTTAACTTCTCTTTTCAATGGAACAGTTCTTCGTGAGGAACGTTCAAAAAGTTCTTTCCAGCCCTTCTGTCGCTGAAACAGTTCTTTTTAGTTCTCTATCGGATGAAACGATTTTTCGTCAAGTACCTTTGGAAGGTTCTTATAAGCTCTTTTTTAATTAACCAGTTAATAATATGAAGAACCTTTATTGAGTTATTTTAGGGTCTAAGGAAATAAGTTCTAAATATCCTTTCAAGGGAACTTTTATGTTGGGTGTGCGAATACCCCTTCGGTTCAAAAAGAAGAGCGATATTTCTAGGTTCAACACTGCAATGAAAGTCATTGTGTACAGTGGACTTCTTGAATCTAGAAATATCGCTGCGCTATTTGAACCGAGGGGTATTCGCACACCCCAACAGTAAAGTTCCCTTGAAAGGTTATTTAGAACTGTTATTTCCTTAGACCCTAAAAAAACTCAATAAAGATTTTAATGATTTATTGGTCAATTGAAACAGCTTATAACAAGCTTGCAAAGGTATTCGATGAAAAACCGTTCCATCCGAGAGAGAACTAAAAAAAAACTACAAAGGATTTCATTTCAACCACTATACTTGCTCACCCCTAACTTTTAAGTTACTTTTCACCGAAAGAGCTTTCTATTATGAACCTTTTCAATGAAAGGTTTGTTGCAAAGACCACTTTCGAGTTAACTTGAATAACTTATTCGCAAAAAGCGACTTGGGCAGCAATTTTAGGTGTACAGTAGCTCTTTTGTAAACTGCTCTTTATCGACTGTCTCGAACTGTTCAAAGAGGCAATATACATCACCTAGACGTTTTGTAAACGTCAACAGACGTGCAAAACAGGCTTTGAACGACAAGGCTCCTTTTCTGGGGCACTACATCTACTGCAGAACCACTGGCTTGGATGGGTATTCAAGTACACATTCATCGTTGATACTCTTATCTAGACCAAGTATGAGGTATAGGGAATAGAGGTAGGAGAAACAAGAGATGCTCTGCAATGTCCAACTTGTCAACGGTGAAATGAAGACACGATACCGCGGTTCACAAAAAAAACATACGGACGTTTATTGAACATGACTAGATTGAAACTTAGCACATGAGTAGAATGCTTCTCTGCCTAAAATATAGATCAAATAAAACACGGCCTAGTGGAACACTGAAATGAGACGCTGAAATTTTAACCTTGAGAAAATTTAGACAACGTTCTAGATGTCTGATTTCATATGTGGCACGTTAGCGAGCTCAGATCTATTATTTCACCACTAACAAAAGAAAACAAAAACTGACTTGGAAAAACTTCAAAACCCCTTCTTGTTGAGGTATACTTTATGGATAAAAATGCTATCTTGGAGACGAGATGGACGGGGCAACCACTCAGGTGTGGAAGCAAGAAAAATGGAATTGCCGCAAAACAAGACTTCTGGCCCCTCCTTCTCATGATGCCCCTCTCCAACCACACACTGCGAGGGCGCATGGCACAAACAGGTGTTAAACCCAGACAAAGAGCACAACGGCACTGCAAGTGGGCAGCTGCAAACCAGGCTGTTAGCTGAATTTAGACAGTGCCTAAGTCTCTTAGTGTACCCTTTTTAGGTTTGAAGTAACTCAAAACCAGACAAAACTGATCCACCATTCAGGCTGTCAATTGCTTTGAAAGTATAGTGGAAAAGGCGTTAAAATTACCACTTCGGGAATGCAGAGGGCCGGGTACAGCTAAATAACATCAGTGGTGGTCTTGCCAGCGATGTCTACCCTCCTTGCCTGTGACGTCTCTGCTATTATTTGAAGTAAGAGCTTCACATCTGTTGCAGCCTTGGAGCATTCAGCAGCCATAGTCTCTACGTGGTCTGCACAGTGGTCGGTACCTTCTACGTCATGATGTGGAACCTGAAAAAAAAAGTCAGTGCCATGCAGACAATATGAGATTTGAAGAACAAAGTTGTGTACCAGACGAACTCCAGCAAGCCTTATTTTATGTTATGTAAAAAATTGTAATTTAAACAGTGGGTGCACGGGTCCAAATAGATCAAGTTATATGTGCTCTATATTTTAGCTATAATAAGGCAGTTCAATGCAGCAAAAGAGATTTAACCGAGAGACAACCAGAGAATATTTGATATATCTGACAAGCCATGCAACTTTGACTTTTACAGATTACATTTACAGCAATATGATTCGTTCAAGTCACTTTGGAGCACCTGTTGCAGTAGTCAGAAGTCCATTTAGGAGTAGCCAAAAGTACGTTTAGGAGAAGCTAAGAGATGTATTGGCATATAAGCAAAAACTTCGTCTTTATTCTTACCACTGTGAATATTATCATACGGTTAATGTGTTGGCATCCTCAACTAAAACACTATCTACTTCGCCCTCCCACTCCTGTGCAACCTTTTCTTAACATCAATTGCTTGACAAGTTTGATTCTCTCGAACAAAGCACTATCTGCTTAGTTGCACATAGAAGCACCAGACATGGCAACAACAGTCTGAGTGATGATGGAGATTATGAACTGCTGTGAATGGTGGTTTTAGGTACGGAATCAAAAGTAAAGCAAACAGTACGTACCACTAAAATAAAATATTATAAAAATAGAAACATTTTGAGTACTCAAAGTGATGTTTTGTTACAGTTCTAAAGGTTATAATCAGGGATGGGCAAAATACATGCAAATATGTATCGAAATACAAATACAAAATACTTCGTCAAAAATGTATTTAATTACAAATCTAATTACATTTCCAAAAAAGCATTTAAATACAAGATACAAATACAACCAAATGTATTTGGTTTCCTCCAAATATTTTTCCAAATACATTCCTTAAAATTTGCGTCAGCGACTTCAGGGCACCTGAAACGGGTTTCTGCGTATCTCATTTTCATTTTGAATTGCACACTCGGGAGTTAGTGAGCGAGGATCTAGTAACGTAATAGAAATATAATCACAAAAAAATGTAATCAGCTTGGACGCAATAGGTGAAAAAAGTACAGAGCTTCAAGCAGGTTTTTTTGTCGATTACATTTTGATATAGGCCCACAAAGAACCGAGACGACCAAGACGCGCTGCACTAGCTAGAGAATTTTTTATTGTTGCAACTACGAAAATCTGAATGACCCGCGCATTTAGAATGTCCAAGGCAAAAGTATGGATGGAAATCCGGCTGGAAAGGATCACAAGTTGTCACAGGCAGACTTGTACACGTTACTAAAAAATAGTAAGGAATTACATTTACAATTACTCAAGGCTAAATTGTAATTTATTACAATTACAATTACCCTCCCATGAAAGTAACTGACCGTTACCCCCAAAAGTAATCCGTTACTTTCGTGGCGTTACTTTTAACATTATTGTCCTCAAGTAAGAAACAAAGGGAAGAGGGATATTCAAGTTCCTATCGTTGCAACCTGTTCTATTGAATGACCTTGAGTATTTTGAGCAACAGCTGACTCTCGAATGTCTCGTCAGACATTTTGCATTATCTCTTACTCAATATGTCGACTGCTACGCTGAACACCATTTGAGCTGAGGCACTCGATGGGAGTGCCATATTGTTCCTCACGAATGCTTCATGCTCTGCATTGAGCTGAGCTTTTTCAGCAAAGCAAAGGAAGTACTATTTACCTCGAATGTAGAGCAAAGCTTCGTCGTTGCAGCCGTTGCCTGCTATTCGAGAAATTTAGTAGATCCTTCCGATACCTCCGATACCCGCGATAACGGTACCCAATAACGATATGATGCATACGCAAAGACGGCGGCGAGGTATCGGATATCGTTATCGGAGTCATCGGACCGATGTACCAAAATTCTTCATTCTCTAAATCGCGAAGCTGTAGAAGTCATCAATAGCAAAACATAGTTGTAACAGTAAGGCGATAATCAAATAATGAATAAGGTTTGGCTCGATATTCTTCTTCCTTTGGCTCTCAACAGGTCGAGCCTCGGTAGAGACGTTGGTGAATAAAAAAAAAAGAAGTTTCTAGTATATAAATATAAGTAATAAAAAAAGGACATTTATAACAACAATTAATTAGAACGTTGCTTAAAACAAGGAAATGTAAACACACATTTGTCGTGTGTACCTTTCTTGGTGCCATTCAAAAACGCACGGAGCACGAACCGACTGCAGTTTGCTCCGGTGTTCTCCAGATAGACGTCCACTGATGCCACGGGCAGCAAAGTGTAGAGTACTATATAAGTAAGCCCAGCTATGGCCCCACTCACGAACTTCACTCTCTCCTCAAGCCCAGAATATCAAGTCTATGTCAGCCACCATTATGTTTTATTTGTAAAAATATCTCCTTAGGATAAGATGCGCCCTGCTGGGACAAAACAGGAAGAAGAAGAAAGGAAGACTATTACCATTTTCTAAATGCTCGCAAAAAGCTGACTCACAAAAAGGGTAGGGTAGACGGAGCGGTTTCCTTTTGTGACATTATGAAAATGGTCGTAGTCACTATATCCGAGAAGGACATTGTTAATTCTTTTCAGTGCACTTACCGCCTCGAGCTTCTCGAAGATGCGCACAATCACTTGGTGTCCTCCTCTCCCCGTCTTCGATCGCAAAGAAAAAACAGAGGGACTAAAACAAAGTGGAAATAACTTGCGCCCCCCCCCCCCTTTTTTCTTTTTTATTTCGTGAATTGTTCATTTGGATTTTTTGACATTGATGTTAGGGTCTAAAAAAATGATAGATTCAGGGGCTTGGTGTTGCAAAAAAAGGCTTTGCGGAACTGAAGAGTGCCAAGCCTCCCTTTGCGCTGGTCGATTCGCGTGACAGTGTCACTGCGCTCGACATTACAAAAAAAAAAAAAAAAAAACTTTATTTAGAATGGGGGCGGAGAGGGGGGGGGTGGTTCTGACAAAAAATGTAACGGATTACAAGGAATCCGTTACGTCAAAAATGTAAAGGAATTACTTTAAAATTACTCTAGAAAATATGTAATTATTCCGTTACAAAATTACTCATAAATGTAAGGGATTACAAGTAATTTCGTTACTTGTAACGGATTACGTACAAGTCTGGTCACAGGCACTTAATAAGCCAGTCTGCCTGTGAACGTTGATTTCGTCACTATTCTTGCCCTGGACTAGCACCGTAATCACAAAGCCACTAAAGGCTTGTGCCTGATTGAGAGACACTGCATTCGGTTCAGAACGTAGTTTTCTTCCTGCCCTGGACAGTGACAATAAATTTGAGGGATGTATTTTCGCCCACAAAATTGTATTTAATTACAATTGTATTTAAAATACCCACGTTTTAGTATTTAAATACACACGTCAAATACATTTCAAAGCTGTGTGTTGGGCTAGTTGGTATTGGACCGGTGCACGGAATTCATCTGGCAGCAGTCGCTGACACGTCTTAGAGGCAGCATACCCAAGAAACGTCCAGTGGTTACTTGCAACGTCAGGACTGTAAGTGATGTGCAGCTCCCTGAGGAAGCTAGACGGGTACTTGCTTTAGGGCCTAAGTTTGCCGTTGAACCGGTTATGAGTGCTCCGGAACTTCTAGGGCTTGTCCGGGATGTCTCTAGGTGCGCTCCAGAGGACGAAATTAAGAGATGCATATCTGAGGGTGTGGATGCGTTACCCCGTAAAAAACCGGCACCGTCCCGTCTGCCAGTTAGACGTGTCGTCTCTTTGTTAAGGGAACGGCACTTGTCGGTCCTTCCCGCTGATAAAGAAGGGGGTTTTGTTGTTTTAACGGAGGGGGAGTTCGGAGGGAAAGCCCTCGAGGCTATCACCTCCGTGTTCAATCTACGGCAGGATGTGCCTCTGAAAAAACTGAAGGGAGAGGGGAAGCGTCTTTGTAATAGGTTAAACCTGACCCGCTTGGCTAAAAGCGTTGAAAATAGCAGAAGTGGTTGTTTACAGATTATGTTCAGTGTGAAAACACATAAGGAAGACTGGCCTTTGAGGGTCATAGTCTCTGAGCATGGCACTTGGCAAAAGTCGATTGCCTTGTGGTTGCAAGATAAACTAAAGATCCTTACCATTGACGACCCGTTTTTAGTCAGGAGCTCTGACGAAGTGGTGGATTTTTTGAAGATGAACGCTGACGTAGGTTTTTTAGCATGTTCATTGGACATTAAAGATCTTTATTACTCCTTACCTCATGACAAATTACGAAGTTGCGTTGAGGATTGTATTCAGGGGTATGGGGTTGTGGCTTTTCAAAACGCTGTGGGCGTGACGGTGGATGACTTTTTAGATCTACTCTCGTTTTATCTTAAGTCTACTTTCGCGGAATGGAACAAAGACACGTACCTTCAAAAGGAAGGTATTTGTATCGGCTCATGTTTAGCGCCCATTTTAAGTGACATTTTTTTAGCGTATCATGACAGAGTCCTTTCGGACTGCCTGAGCGATTTTAACGTAAGGAAGTGTTTTAGATTTGTTGATGATTTTTTAGTATTTCTTAACTGCGACTCGACACATTTCCATTCGGTGGTGGATAGTCTTTTAACTATGTTTAGTGATGCCCTTCATCCCCTGAAACTTACACAGGAAGTGCCCGTAGATGGTGTCATCCGTTTCCTCGACATCAGGCTTACTTTCGTCGAGAATCATGTATGTTGGATGTATCAACCTAGAGCCAACAAGCCCCTGCTGCCTTTTAATTCGTCCCACTCAAAACTGGTTAAGAGAGGGATTGTTAATTTGTGCTTCAAGAACGCCCTTCATAAGTCATGTCACCACGTGGCACATTTGAGTGTCCAGGAGCAGTCTGAACGTCTGTTGGCGGCTGGCTACCCGGAGGCTGTACTGGTGTCGGTAGCCGAGGTGATCCTTAAGAGGCTTCGAGCTAAGGGCAACACCCGTCCAGAAGAGGCCAGGAGTAAACAAAGGATTGCAGTCGTGCCTTATATGCACAAGACGGCGCATAACCTAAAGAAAATAGCAAGCCGCATAAACACTAAGGTGGTCTTTTCTGCGCCAGAGAAGCTAGCCAGGCTTAGTCATTTGACGAACCCTTTCCGGAAAGCCTCGCTGGGTTGTGTGATTAAGCACAGAAATCCGTTTGTCGTTTGTGTTGAGGGTGTGGTATATCAGATTCCCTTAACATGCGGTAAGAAGTATGTTGGTCAGACTGGGAGATGCCTGAACGATAGGCTCCGAGAACATAGTCTGAACGTAAAAAACTATCGGGATGGCCATCTTTCAGTGCACTGCCATGACTGCGGATGCAAACCTTTGTTTGACTCATGTTCCGTACTTGCTAAACATAAAAATAGAACTGTTAGGGAGATTATTGAAGCAGACGAAATAAAAAGGGCAGGACTGGGGTGTGTCAGCGTTGCATCTATCGACCTTTTCGATAAGGAAGTGCAGTTCATGCAGGTGGCGGCTAGGCCTGGGGTTGGTTGATTGATAGGATCGAAGCGTGTATATATGCCTCATTTCCATGTTGATTAAATAGTTGCAGTCAGCGCTCGTGTCTGTCTTGTCTTTCTTTCTTTTGTCCTCGTCCAAAAAAGCGCTACCATGCCTTTGGCAACCCAAGGTCAAATACATTACCCAATTTTTAATTAAATACAAATGCAAAATACACAAAGTATTTGAAATACGTATTTCAAATACTTGTACTTGAAATACTGCCCATCCCTGGTTATAATAAAACAAAGATTTCGTCATTTGATTGTGAATATCAATGTCGTATATTTAAGACTTCATTACAAGAATCTGCATGCGAACAATAAATATGCCTTTTAAAAACAATCAAGCCGAATTTGGTAAGGTCATTCCCAAGCTTCTAACCATTCCTATGGACGGGCCACTGAAAACTGTATAAAGATTCCTCTCATTTTGGCAAAATGTAACAGGCTAAGCACTTCGAAGCATATGGTGCAGCAATTACATAACTACATTTAGCTGAATAACTACTTAAGAACAGTTCCCGCCTCCAGGTTAGTTTTATTTTTTTTTAACTGTATCAGAACCAGGTTGTAACAAACTTACCATGGCCTTTTGTATTTTTGAATACAGTCACTGCGTTGGCGTTTTTCCTTTCGCTTTCGCCCACTACTTTTGCCATAGTTTTCCTTGTTTTGCTGAACTTCTGGCAGATGCATAAGAAGCAACCTTTCTTTTTTCATTTTGTTAATAAGGCTGTGTCGCAGTGAATCCTGCATTGAGACTGATGAGCAGCAAGCCTGTTACAATGCAGATAATGAACTTCGATACAAGCATTTCAATTGTCAGAATGAAAACAAGTCCTTGTAAATCTTACGCAGCGTCCAGTGGAGTCGGCCAGGAAGGGGTATGCCGCTTGGAGGGCACGCATGACATCATCTAGCTAAGCCCGACTTGGCGTTCTGGAAAGAAAAAACAACAAATGTTAGCCTCTGTTTTAAGATATATAAGTGAGGACTTCAAATACTGCTGCTTTCGGAGTTTTGCTCAGAATGTCGTCTGCCAACGCAGCGACCAACTTTGTTCGTGCTTCATTTCGCTGTGGTTGAAGGAAAAGTTCACTCTTTTCACACAGCCTCTGTAACATAGCGAGGGAAATTTTGGGAGAGTATATCTCTGTGGCCATACATTCCTTACAACCTCTGTAGACCAAACTGAGGCAGCTGTGTTACTAGCACGAGGCACATTGGAGGGTCCAGGCAAGCTGAAAGATAACAATGTAATTAGTGCATCTCGAATTTCACAAATGGAACGCAAATTTCCAATTGGGTAATGTGCCCCACCTTTCTTTTACGTCTTCTTTTAGCTGTTCAATCAGTTTTAGCAGTTTGACTCGCAGTTTCATAGCAGGGAGCAACTGCTCAATCATCCACACTGACAAGTTTAGTAACGTCTTCCCATCAACTTCTTCTGCATAAAAGGAGATAAAATATTGCACATACAGTTTATATCATATATATATGTTATATATGTTAATGACAGAAGTTATACCACATTTTTTTACCCTTTTATTCTGATGGTGTACACAAATATAGTATAAAGAGAGTGAAGATGGGGGGAGGGGGAAAACCATAAAGCAGTGGCATGCATCACCCCCACACTGCTTCCATTATCTGGTTCCCCAGATCCTCCCTCGACATCTTTACGTTTCATGTGCTTCCTGAAGCTCTCAAATGCAATAAGATATCGTCCAGACGGAGAGCACTTACCCAACTTGCAAACAGAATTAAAGTCCGGGTCACCATGAGCTATCTGGACATGATTTGTCAGATGACTCCCGATGTGGTAGCACTGCGAAAACTTTGAACACTCGTATCCGCTCATGCTGAAATCGCACAAACGAAGACAAATCTCACCAATCGCCGAAAGACCCGGAAGCACTTCCTCGCTCACAAAACATGTCCAAATATCCACACTGCACTACAAGTTTCATAAAAAAATATTCGCGTGCACATGGAAGTATGGAAGGATAGCGCCATCGAGACCCCGATCAGCCACCGTTACCGGCACTCAACTTGGAAACTGAAAACGCGAGACGAAACCGACGCCGCCAACCAATACAAACAAAGAGGACGGAGCATTCTGCTTACCTTCGAATCTCTGGGCGAAGTCTCCAAGGTTTTGCTTTGTCAACCAATCTGACACGTCCTGGAGCTTCCATCTAGACACATTTGTATGTTCTCGCACCGTGACCCCATCCATTGAATGCCGCCGACAGAACCAGGTCGAAACAGTAAACAGCGAACCCCGAATTGTTGGCCGCAGTTACTTTCGCCTTTACAGAATCTCACGCAGGAAAACGGCACGGCGCAGCGGCACCACCGGCACTCCTTCGCGCGCAACCGCTTCTTCGAAAACAAAATAACAAAAAAAAAAACACGTTTTGAAGAACTTTTTTCCAGGCAAACGTTCTTCATCGCCCGGTCGCCTTTCTGGTGCGCCAGGGGGCGACACTGTTTGAGCGAAAACAGTTCTTCACGAGGAAAAAGAGTTCTCGGGGCGGCGAAGAACCTTTCAAGAACGGATTTTTTTTTAGAGTGTGGGGTGAATTTCGGGCCCACCAAAAATAAAACAGATTCAGTACTATATCTACCGATTATTTTAGAATAATAATTTTACGACGATGGATCTATGAAGCTCTAAAGGACTGGAACAGGTGTTCGATATAAACGAATCTAGCGCTGTCCATCCGGGACAGAAATGAATCCCATGAACATGCGACGAATGCACATGGGTGGCGGAGGCACGCACACCGTTCGAAATATGGCATCGGCAAACTTTAGAACTACGACTCTCCTGAAGATGTGTTTTATGGTTGCTGCATATTGCCTAAACAGGGGCTGGTTTAGCCACTAAAACCAACTGGCTGTAATACCTACATGCAGTACTTCCGTTTGGGTATATTTCAGAGCCCCGCTTGCTGAAGGTTGTTATCCGGCCTTGACCCACTTGATCTTTCTGTTGATCTTCAAACCAATCAAAACCGAAACTTCACACGAAATATTCATCCACAATCTTTCAGCTAAGCTGATTTTTCCGTTTAGAAATTATTTTAAAAAAAACACACACACAATTGTCAGTGAACAGCAAGCTTCAATGTATCTCATGCGTTTACAGCCACCTTACGCTTCCTTAACTCCTTTGTCCAGGTCAGCCACTGTTTATTTTCAGAAAACTCGGGCTGTGTTCCCTTTCCCTAAAATGTCGGAGTAAGTTCCCGTATGCACAATGCGCTGACGAGAACCCCAACATTCTCGTTTCTAGGAATATGGGTTCGGCTTCGAAGTCCCAAGCCATTTTGGCTGTGCTCCCCGGCCACCTTATCGCCTGCTGTCCAAAGTTACTGTCTGAACTGACAGGGGTATTGATGCTACTTTTTTTTTTTCTGTTCCAATGAGCTGCTACCACCGCTTCCCTTATGTTTTTGCCTTACGCATCTGCTAGTGCGAAGCCAAGTGACAAAAGCCACAAAGCTGGTTGGTGCAGCCAGTATTTAGCTTTCACAGCGCTGTCAAAGATGAACAGGGTCAAGGTCTCGTTACAATTTTTTTTTTTTTTTTGGTCTGCGGGATGGGTGTGAGCAGGCGAACATCGACAAACAAGGGACGGTTTCATGTGACAAAAAAAAAATGCTGATTGGTTTTTGGGTGATAACACGCAGGGTGTGGGGCGAAAAGGAGGGGGGGGCGAGCGGACATCTGCACCACGGTCATAGTGTAATCTTCGTGACTCCCACTCGATGGTTTTATGGGCCATTAGTTTTCTGCTCTTTTGTGCGCTCGAAACAGTCCGTTCGTTTTCCAAGTCGAAGCTTGCTGCCTTCATGTAGACAGTCGAATCCTCCCAGCCTGACTGACCGTGCGAACGAGTCCAGAAACGGGCTCTGGCTGGGCTGTCGCGGTTTCCGTGAATTCCTTTCCTTCGCCAGCACTAGATCTCTTCGCAAGTGAACCTCCGTCTTGTGTTACCGTGCTAAAAGCCCGAAGGCCGTTGCATCGCCCTTCTTCCTCTTTATTTTTCCCTTTGACGGGGCGGAAGAATTGTAACGAGTAATTTCAGTAACGCGTGACTGAAAAAGTAATGAAATTAGATTACAAATTACATTTTCAAAGAAGTAACAAACTATTTACAAAATTACTAGAAAGGTAATTATTTACAAGTAATTCCGTTACTTGTAACGGATTACTTCCAAGTCTGGTTGAGAGACAGTGGCGTAGCCAGGATTCTATTTTTTTTTTTTTTTTTGGGGGGGGGGGGGTGCAACACGCGCCGTGTTGCATGCAGGGCTTTATGGAAGTAGTCTACTCTATTTTGGGGAGGAAGGGTTCATTACCCCCCCCCCCCCCCCCTCCCCAAAATAGAGTAGACTACTTCCATAAAGCCCTGCATGCAACACGGCGCGCGTTGCACTCTGGGAACTAGTTGGCCAGGGAGGAGGGTGGCATGGTTTGGGTTTCGATCGACACGTCGACAAGAGATTATACACAGAGCGTGGACTATTAACGGCCGTTATCTCATGTTTTCTGGTCCCGAGAGCGGCATTTGTGATCTCTAAACTAACAGGAATAAAAAGATTCATCTAGGCACCGCGTAGCAAGCTCCTGTACCTGCGCGACCCCTCCCCTCCCTCCCCCCCCCCCCCCCCCCTCAGATTTTTTAAAGTCTAAAGACTTCAGTCGCAAGACTTTTCTTTTTTTCTTACAATAAACGTTTTCCAACCAACAACTAACCTAAATGGCCAGACCTCGAAGGTTTAGCGCAAGCCTGAAACGTATAGCTTGCCTTAACACATGCTTGTAATTTTGTACTTGAGCCTTCCTGTTAGCGTTCCAATCGAGGTA